TTGTGGAGCAGATCCAAGTCAAGCTGGACCTTTTCGCGACCGACTTGAGCACGGGTGAGTTCATCGCCCCAGAAAAACGGCTACGACAAATACACCGTAAAGTTTTCAGCGATTATTCAGATGTTTACGCTCCTCTATGGCTAAGACTAGCCGTTTTCGTTTGACACCTGTTATTAGGTGACTTTGCGCGTACCGTTTACGTATAACAAAATTTTACCAAAGGCTGTTCGGTCCAACTGTTGGAAGTGCCACGTCCTTTCCGTTGTCAAAAAAAGATATCTTCTTAATATGAAAGACAAGCAAAAGAACCCGGAAATTATCGAGTGATGAACTAAACGAAAAAGTTTACTTAGTTCAATTTAATAAAAACAAACATAAACATTACATCTCGTTCCGGAAAAAGCAAAACCTGTAAGTAACATAACGAAAATGTTATACATTTTTTCTATTTTTTTCAATTTTGCTATAAACCGGAGTTTGTAGAGACTCGGGACCGCGGGGGGACGCTAGAAACCGGCGGTGGGTCCAACGCCTTTTTGTGACCGAATCTTCATAAGTCCTCGACCTAGTACAAAAAAATAAAACTAAACAAAGAACCGTTGATAATTTCTAAATTTTTTAAGACTATTTTTGAACTCACACGATTAAAAAACTACTATAACGTTAAAACACACACATTGGTTATGTGTCAGTCTTCTTTTTTGGTAATTTATTAATTAATTTATAAATTTTTCGTACGAACAACAAAAAGAAAATGCTCCGCTTGTGAAAGAAGTAATGCAATGGACTGACATGAGAATCATAAAAGTTGCACACGGAGAAAAAAACCTAATAACAAGAACAGGTTAATTAAATGTCCGGAATGAAAGGGAAAAGTCGTTTTGTGGACGCTAACGGTTGTACGTGTAACTCGCTGTTAGGAAGTACGCGTGGAAAGTTGCGTTAAGTTTGAAATTGTCTTACTTGTGGTTATGTCAAAAAAAGGTTGTTCAGAAAGTGCCTTACTATGAACACCGCCATCAGCTCTGCAGCCCCCACCCCCACCCGCACGGATGCCACCCGTCGCTTTGGTTTTTTTCGTACTTGAAAAAGCGCGCTCGGACGTCCTCCCAAATGACGCCTCGCCGTACTTCGTCTGGATCGGTTGGCGAAAAATTTTCATCCCGGCAACATCAATTTAAGCTTAGTCGCTCTACGCGCAGCCACGTGGCGCTATTTTTTGAATAAATTTGGATTTTACGAGCGCTAAGGCGGCTTATATGAAACGCCACCTGCAAATTTAATGAAACAAGTCATTTTAGAATACAACACCCTTTTTGGGACGTCAATTATTGGTGGAGGCGAAAAGGACGAAAATTGAACTAAATTATAATTTTCTGGACACAAATATACTGTCTACACACTACGCTCAAAGGTGATACCAGTACGCTCAGTGTAATCGTGGTCGAAGTCAATGCGGGGGGAGAGGTAGGTGGTAGAGTAGAGTGGAACGTCGTCTTATAAAGACAAAATTGGGGTAAAGAAAGTCCGTGAATAAAAATTCACACACACACACCACAACAAACACACACACACAACACACACACACACAACACACGACAATTTTGACAAGTTTAAATAAAGAGAGACCGACAGGTGAGAGTATTACAACAGTGTATCTTGACGACAGTTTATCTTAAGTTAATCAATCTATTAATTAAGTAACGTTTTTTTAGACAGTGTTTTCCGCAACGTTGTAAAAGTTAAAAGCCAACAACAATTTTTGCAAGTCACCGGTTTTGCCGCGCATGTCACGACGTTTCATCAGTTGTACACTCAGCTGTCATTCGCAACCTTTGATACGTGGTAATCGGGACATGAAACAAGAGTTCTTATAACCAGTGTATTGTAAGGTATATAAAAGTCAACGATCCAACGTACGAATCGTTCGGATTGAAACTTTGTGAAATTTACCTGTCTGAGTCCTAAGTTACACACAATTGACATTCGCAAGAACTGCTTGTCGATTAACCGCGTAAAAGGTGAAATGTTGCGGAAAGCGAGCGGAGCGAGCCATACCGACCGGAGTAATCCTTGACCGGAGCACATCCGCCTCGCACGTGCGAAAGAAGTCTACTCTAAGGGGTCTTTTGTTTGTGTTTCGGCAATCGACAATTCGTGAGTCGTCGAATGTTAGAGTATAGCAAAGGTCTTTGACCTGTTTCAAATTAGTCATGTTGGTGTCTGACAGACAACAGTACCGCTTATTGTGTCAAGCGAACCCAAAAAAACAACAAAACATAAGCCACAACAACTCACCCACCTGGCCAGCCTCGTAAATGTTTTGCAAACGAATCGATTAGAGGTAAATCTTTTGTGCGTAAAATTTCCAAAAAGTTGGACGAAAGACAGACGCCTGAACAAGTTTCGTAATTAGTACGCAAAAAAATGATTTGGCCATAGTCATCCAAAACAAATGAAGCCCGTAAGGAAAACTTTGCACAAAAAATGTTATTAAGAACAACATCAACGATCGGGGAACCGGTCGCTAAGAAGAAGAAGACAAAAGTTGGGGTCAAGAGTACCGAAACGCACAAGTGTTTTGTGCTAAAAATTAAAAACTAAGCACGAAGCGTGTGCGTAAAAAGAGGAAAAAAAGCACAAAACGTGTCGTGCAAAATTTCGTTTCACAGTAAAGAATCTGATCATACACCAAAGCATGACGTCGTGCAGAAAAAGAGGCGCAGCCCAGCACCCTTCCTTGGCGCTTTCGACACACCGAAAGTAATTTTTTGTACAAGATGAGTGATAAAGTTCGGGGGTTCGTAATAACCCGACAAAAGGACCGGCATTAATCTAGTCCAACCTGCCCTCCCCCCGGGACTGGCCAGGCCAAGCTGACACTGCCGGGGATGTGTGGCTCCGCCGCCAGCGCAACAGCAACGTCAGCCACCCCCTCCCCCGAAAACTTTTGAGCCCCTGGGTTTGTTTGTTTAAGTGGTAAACTTAAAAAGAAAAGGGCGGGGTCTGGTGTGTTTGGGGTGCGGCGCGCAAACTACCGACCTTCGTCCCGATAAGGTAATGTGTTAAAGTCCCAACCCCCCCGGTCTAAAATATTGATGTTAAAGCCCCCCCCGGTCTGTAAAGTCCGCCCCGACCATTTTTTTTTCGCCCCCAACAACTGGTGAAAAAATTGGGTGGCTTGTACATAATGAAACGCTACTTTTTTGTACGTTAAAAATAAGTAAAGAAGGGGGTAAGAAATGTTTTTTGTCCATGCAGTTTTCACCGTAATTTTTTGGTAGTTTAACGTAATTAAAACGCGCCCTTTAGACTTTTTCACGTGGCCCAACATCCGAAGTTATATAAAGGAGTGTATGTTTCTTTTGTCGACTTCTCGAGGTTACGTTTGTGTTTCTCCTAATCATGAGCATCGTTATGATAAAAAGTAAAAGTTCATTATTGTTTTTTTAGTATGCAAATCCGAGGTGTAAACTGCCGTCACACGACTGATCCGTGAGAGTGTTTCGGTGAAAATTATACATATATAGCTATTTTCAGTATGACTTGATCTCACTTACGCTACGGGACAGTAGGAAGTCACGTGTTTGGCGGTATTGTCTTCCCTATGCCCATTGATTGTATACTTACTTATGGTTGATGTGCATGATATCATTTGATGCCACGAATGATAGTGGAGTAAATGCGACTAAACAGTAGTAGCGACTGAAAGAGTTACCCTCTCCCTCTTAAAAAACAAAAACTTGTTCTCGTCACTAAAAACCGAGTGATCCTACAGTTACGTTAGGATTTCTGTAACCACTTCTCATGACAGTCAGTCCCTGTCGCTCCAACGATTAAAACTAACTCGAAGTAACACACTTTTCGAACTAAGTGTAACACATACAACTAGGCTTTGTATGACTCGTGTGTCTAGATATGAAAGACTTGCAATCCCTTGCAAGTCAACGACAAAAAACCTGTAGTGAGGTTTTTGAGTGACCGGGCAATAGCGACGTACAGTTATTCAAGGTCAATATATAAAGGGAACAGCTACGTCCCCTGGGTTGAAGGAAACGAGACCAACTGATGGCAGGGGGAGATACCGTTGTCACTTCCCCAGAGACGGTTCGGGTAGTGAGAGCACCCGTCTCGTTCAGGTAGGTAGCTGGCGTTTCAAGAGAAAGTTGGAGCGTTCACTTTAGACCAGTAGTTAGGCACTAAACACGCTCTACACTACACAAACCCCTCGCAGCCTTTTTANTGACGCGCACAGCTGGGAGACCAGGGGAAACTAAAGAGTGACGCACACAGCTGGGAGACCAGGGGACACTAAAGAGTGACGCACACAGCTGGGAGACAAGGGGACACTAAAGAGTGACGCACACAGCTGGGAGACCAGGGGACACTAAAGAGTGACGCACACAGCTGGAGACCAGGGGACACTAAAGAGTGACGCACACAGCTGGGAGACCAGGGGACACTAGAGAGTGACGCACACAGCTGGGAGACCAGGGGACAGTAAAGAGTGACGCACACAGCTGGGAGACCAGGGGACACTAAAGAGTGACGCACACAGCTGGGAGACCAGGGGACACTAAAGAGTGACGCACACAGCTGGGAGACCAGGGGACACTAAAGAGTGACGCACACAGCTGGGAGACCAGGGGACACTAAAGAGTGACGCACACAGCTGGAGACCAGGGGACACTAAAGAGTGACGCACACAGCTGGGAGACCAGGGGACACTAAAGAGTGACGCACACAGCTGAGACCAGGGGACACTAAAGAGTGACGCACACAGCTGGGAGACCAGGGGACACTAAAGAGTGACGCACACAGCTGGGAGACCAGGGGACACTAAAGAGTGACGCACACAGCTGGGAGACCAGGGGACACTAAAGAGTGACGCACACAGCTGGGAGACCAGGGGACACTAAAGAGTGACGCACACAGCTGGGAGACCAGGGGACACTAAAGAGTGACGCACACAGCTAGGGCAGGGGACACTAAAAAGTGAGAACTGTCTCTTTTGTTGGAAACTCACCTAAAATGTTTTCTGGGCTTATTTTAACAATGTGATCACATGACTCCTTCTGATGTTACTGCAGACCTGCTGTAAGCTAGCTAGCTAACGTAGCTAACCTAGTCATTTCAGATATACTGAAAAACACTGACAGTTATGAGACGACTGACTCTGAGACATAGACCTCCTTCACAAAGCGAATAAGTTCAGACATCGGCTGGTAAAGCCAACTTTACTTCTATAACTTCATCTTTATTGGTGAAAAAAGTAAATTGGGAAACAAAGTTGGACAGATAACAATCAGGAACAACAGCACAAATGTCTTTTCACACTATCAGGTCTGAGTGAGAGGTAACGAGGCGAGCATGCAGGAGAATGTGGAGAACATGGACTCTGAGACACTAAGCCAGGAAGCCACGGGGTGGTAAGATGTGTGAAATGGTCTTCCCTGTGCAGCCGCGCTCAGCAAGGGCCACAGATGTAAAAATATGGCCTGTTTTTACAGCACACTGACTTTAGTGGTGGGTTTTGTGATGGAAAGGGTGGCGGACATTGCCTCACTTGGAAGTTTCACAAAGGAAAGAAACAACCTCTACTTCAAAACTACGTCCCTGGGCGTGATTTCATGTCCGTGATGCTACATGATGTACGCCTAGCTATTAAACTTCCAATGATTAATAGGATAACTCATATTTAAAGTGACGAACAGAACATTTTGACACTGCGTATACATTTAAACGTGGTATAGGAGTCACCCAATTGTGTGTGTGTGTGTGTGTGTGTGTGTGTGTGTGTGTGTGTGTGTGTGTGTGTGTGTGTGTGTGTGTGTGTGTGTGTGTGTGTGTGTGTGTGTGTGTGTGTGTGTG